CAGCCTTCTGGGATGCATTTAATAATGGATTGTTAAGTTCTCATGTCGTCTGTGACACCCCTTTAACTGAGAGGTGAGTTCCTGTTCTGTCAGCCAATCCTTTTTCTCCTCGTCCCATAGATGGCTCATTGTGTAGACTCCGTGCCTAATCCAAGATAGCCATCTCTGTCCTCTAGGCTTAGGGACAGTGGGTGATCGCTTTTATCTCTCACCCGAGTATTACCAAATAGGGGGTGCCTCGGCACCTCTTCTTTGGACTTTGGTCTGCCCACCTTTTTTGGCATGATTTACCACCATATCCGTGGCAGTGCTGTCCAGTAGGGTATAGGGGGCCTGGCTTCGTAAGGACCAGACCTTCTCCGTTGGTTTCTGCGGCCTGTGTTTGGACTCCATTCCTTATTCATCACCCGAAAAATTCCGGACATGTTCATTGGTGTGCTTGTTGGGGCTAGGCTCCTGATACCGTCCAGGGCCGGTTTGTTCCATGCGAGGTCCGGTCTGGTGAGGAGTTTAACGAGCTTTGCAGTTGAAGCTATGTACCACAAGTCATCCTGCCTGACCACAAGTCCTTGATTGTGTGATCTCGCACCATCCATATTGGAAGCTATGTACCACGTCATTGAGAAAACTGATGTATTGATAGTCAGTGCCCGACCGAACAAGGATGTAAAAGTATTTCCCCACCTACCCATTTTGTTGATTTGATTAGCGAGCATGTTTTGGGCCATTTGGGGGGCGAAGCCATCTTTCGTCATTAAGTTGCCCAGGTATCTTGTAGGAGCTTTTGGTTTGTCCCATGTCATAGCCCCCTCCGGGCCGTGGTGTTGGGGGACTTCCTCTTCAAACAGCCACCATACAATTATTTTTTTCCAGTTGATTTCTATTTCTGATGCCAGTCTAAAGGCCTCCATGCCTCGTACCAGCGCACTGACAGATGAATCCGAGGCTCGGATGAGAATAGTCAGATCATCTGTGAACATTATTACTGTGGGGAACTGAGGTGGTGGGGTGTGCCTACATTTACCTCTGGTAGCCTGTGGATGGAAGGGTCTTTGCGTAGGAAATATGCTATAGCATCATAGTTGCAGCGCACCTCGGTCCAGGGATTTGTGCACGCGTTCGCACCGCACCACTCAGCGCACTGAAGCAAACTGCACTGGAAAAATTAGGTCCAAAAAAAAAAAAAGTACGGGGTTCTGTAATCTCTAACTCGGCAAAAATGTTAAACTCCCCACGTGAGTTGAGAAACTGGCAGCGCACCCGGCCTGATACTTTTTTTTGGGCAAGGGCTGCCGAATTTTGATTTCCTTAGGCCCTTCCTCCAAAAGTTTCAAAATGGCGAATTGGTTTCCTTAGGCTCATTCCAATTTTTTTTTTAGGTGGGGTGTGGAAACTGGCCTTCCTCCTCCCTTCTGCAAATCCCGCACAGTGGTGGGAAAAATTTGCAAGAAGGGGGTAATTGCCCAATAGCGACCTGCCCCGCAATGCTTCGCAGAAGTCACTAGACATGTTTTGCACGGCCAGCCGACCACCAATACGTGCTGAAGATTGGCATTCAGATCCGCATGTCAGCAGCTATGGGTTAGGAACTGAGGATGAAGATGCCTGTAGCTCTCTCATTTTTTTGTTTTTGTTTTCTTATGAATGCGTAAAGTGGGGCCTGCTCCACTGCTCACCACATGCACAAAAGACATAGCATATGGCGGTGTATGGTTCCATGTTTTAGCAGAAGATTCATTATACTAATGTTATATACATTTGGTGACTGGTGGAGGGAGGCCCTGAGAATCACGTGGAGACATGAACAGGGTCTAGCCGAATTGGTGACCCGTAACTGCCGAGCGACAGCCCTGAACGTGAACCCACAGCATATATTGGTGGTCTGCTCCCACCTCTTCCACATATGTCGTGGCCATCCTTCTCGTTGAAGTTGTGGTCCTCAGTGACTCCACATATATTGTAGGAGCCATTCGAGGTGGCTGCAGGGGCCCTCAAATTGACGTGAAGGGGACCCTTTGGTCTCTCTCTCTCTCTCTCTCTCTCTCTCTCTCTCTCTCTCTCTCTGGGGCGCGTTTTTTTTTTTGTTTTTTTTTTGGCCCACAGGGCGCACCTCCCTCTGCGCGCCCTGCCCACAGTGCACGCACTTTCATTTCCACGCACAGCGCACTGCGCACCGGCCCGCACCGCACTGTGCACTGGTGCGCCACAACTATGTATAGCATCCATTACAAAGAGAAAGATTGGTGGTGCGAGCGGATCGCCTCAATCCATTGATTTGAACACAGGCTATAACGTAGTTGTATAAGATGCACACCCACTTCCTAAAGTTTGGATCGACTCCCATCTTTCCATGCGATTGTTGAGGAAAGCCCAGTTAACCTGATCATAGGCCTTTTCGCAATTGAAAAAAAGGATAGCTGTGTTGATCCTTTTTTCTCTGACTTTCTTAGCTGCTTCGTTGAGTGTCAGTATGTTGTCAAGGATGTATCTTCTAGGGATGAAACCTTTTTGGTCTATGTGGAAACATTTGTCAGTCAGATCTAGGATTCGAAAGACCAAGGCTTTGGCTAGGATCTTACAAGGAAGTGTAAGCAGGGATATTGGTCTGTAATTTCTGATGTCTTCCCTGTCCCCTTTCTTGTACAGCAATGTAACCACGCTGCTGCTCAACAGTTTCCCTAGCCCCCCCTTTAGCCAGCTGCCATTATAGAAGTTTAATAGGTCTCCCCCTATGAGTGGCCATAATTTTCCCCAGAATTATTTCGTCAGACAGTCAATTCCTGGTGCCTTGTTGTTGTTCATGCTTTGGACTGCAAACTGCAACTCCTCCAAAGTAATAGGTGACTGTGCCTCATTTCTTTCTTT